GCCAAGATGATCAGTTAATTTGATTGAACTACACTAAACAATCATTAAATAAACATTTCAGGGTTTTTATTGTCAGCACTAATGCGGTGTTTGTAGTGGTAGTGTTAGTAATCATGCAAAATACAAAATTTTCTAGGATGGTGATAACGGCGTCCACAACCAGTAGATACACGAAAAGAAAGAATAGAATAAAGAATAAAAAAAGTAAGCCAATAATAATAATTTTAGGTAGTTAAGTATGTTTAAGAAGGTTGTTCACTATAGATTGCAAATGAGAGAATAAGGGAGGAATAAAAGGGCCAAAATTATGTTATTAACAACAAAGCAAGTCATAGGTTTCGCTCTTAACATTGTCTCTGTCACTTAGAACACGGGCCAAATATGGTATCGTTGAGTTCCTATACTTGGTTGTACGAGCATATATTATTTTGTACTGATTTCTGGTTCTACCTGATGAGATGCAAGGAGAGAGAGTTGGGAATAGAGGGGGTGTTGGGGGTCAGAGAGTATGGTTTTAGACCATTTTTCGCATGTATTCAGATGCTTATCCACTAATGTAGTGACGAGCTGACTGAGTTTTACACCGCTAGTCCTACTAACTACCTTCAACATCCTTCTCAGGATGGTATAGTCCTTTTTCAGTAACCCAGGAAAGACTAACGGGGAGCAGTAAAGTAGAATAGGTAGGATACGAGAGTTGACAAATTGTGAAAGCAGAGGTTGAGGGACTCCAGTTAGTCTGAGTTTCTTAATGTAGTAGGTTAGACGAAACACTTTCTTGGAAATCATTTGGATATGAGATGACCAAGTAAGGTCGGAAGATAGAACTAATCCGAGGTATTTTGCATTAGACTTTGTTTCAATTATAGTCCCCTCAATTCTACAGGCATCATGAGTGCTTACTAGTGTTTGTAGATCTCGTTTATGCCTAAAGGAGAAGTCGACAGTCTGGCATTTTGAGGGATTCAGCATGAGGCCATTTAGTTTAGACCACTGACTGATGTCCGACAGGAAGCTATTTAATTTGAAGCAGTCTGACTGAGACTTAACGGGAAGCGAAACAGTCAGGTCATCTGCATATTTAACTTCGTCTGAGAGAGGTAAGTCATGTAAGAAGAAGGAAAAGAGAAACGGCGAGAGAACAGCACCCTGAGGAACACCAGCTTCAGTAAGCAAAGGAGAGGAAGCTACACCATTATATACCGTGTACTGCATCCTATTGGAGAAGTAAGAGTGCAGCCAGTTGATAGCCCAGGACTCAGTTTGTGTAAGGCTAAGCTTGTTTAACAAAAGGCCTCTAGGTACAGAGTCAAAAGCAGATGTGTAATCAAGGAAAGTACAACGGACATACTTGGCCCCTTTGTCTAAGGAGGATACAATGTTGTGATGAAACACAGACAGCATCCAAAGTACTTCTACCCTGTTTGTAAGCAAACTGCTTTGGATCATTTGAGAAGCTTAGGGAGGGAATGAGTTTTTGTAACAGTAATTTCTCCATCAGTTTCAAAGAAGGAGAGGTAATGGCAATTGGTCTAAACTTAACACTATCTCCAGAACCAGACTTGGGTACAGGGATGATTTTAATATCTTTCCACAGAGAAGGTACAACATTATTAGAAAAAGAAGTATTGAAAATGCTTGTAAGTGGGTTACTTAAAATATCAGCACATTTCTTTAGAACAATGGCAGGTATACCATCAGGGCCTAGACTCTGGGAAGGTTTAAGAGATTTCAAACATTTAAGAACATCAGAAGTATTGAAACTATGAAAGTCACTGGTCGTGTTATTAGTTAAATTGAAGGCAAAAGGGACATTTGGAGGGCGGATGAAAGATCTATTGAGAGTATTTACATCAATAGAAGAGGCAAAATTATTATGCTTACCACAACCAGTAATTTCTCTAAAAAGCTTCCATATGTTTTCTGAGTTTTACAAGACAGTATTGTTTGATTATAAATGTTGTTTAGTCTCTTGATTTCAGATTTAATTTGGATGTTTATCTTCTTAAGACCAGATTTATTCTTTGTCTTGTACAGCTTCTCTTTTTCTCTTTGAAGTTTTTTGAGATGAGGGGAAGAGAAACGATCCATTCTTTTGAAAATTATCTGTTTTGGACAGCATATATCAAGGCAGAATTTAAGATATAGATAATTCAGTCAAATTGGAAATAGTATCATCCAGTGTGTGTTCGTTGAAAAGTTCCCAGTTAGTGTCATTTAGCATACATCTTAGTTTGAGCATATTTTCTTGTGAGTAACACCTTTGCTGTGTTTTCCTGGACAGATTTGAGAAGATATTAAAGTGAGATCTGCTGTATATCTTAGGTAATATCCGAATAATACAATGATCTGAGTTCATGATAGGAGCACGTCTGCGTACTTCATATATTTCCTCATCATTAATAAATACTAGATCCAGAGGTTTATCAAGTCGAGTAGGGAATTTAACAATATTGGCATGACCTAATGATACAAGGAAAGAACAATCACAGCAGTTAAAATCTCCTGTGACAACTGATAAAGAGTTTTCAAGATGTGTAACGGCGAATTCAGTGAATTCATCAGCAAAATCAGATAGATCCGAGGCAGAACAGCCAGGAGTAACATAAATGTTTGAGATGAAGACGTATTTAAACTTGGATAAGTGTTTCGGGCGGCATTTGACTGTTATACAATCAATAAAGTCATTAGAGTAAGAAAAACATACATTATTTGAAGTTGACCATTGAGAATGAATGAAAGTTGCAACACCTCCACCTCTTTTCTTTCTGGAGCATAGTCGATCTTGTCTAAACAATGTAAAACCATTTAGGGAAACCAGATTGTCATCATAGAGTTCATGGAGCCATGTTTCTTGTAATGCAACAATCGCCGTATTGTGATAAGTATCAGATGATAAGAGAGACTGGAGATGCATAATTTTGTTGGGAAGTGAACGGCAGTTTGAAGTGACAATAACAAGAATAGTTGTACGATATAAAGGTGTCTGTTTAAGAGCACGTTGCCAACCACCGTGATGTTTTCTCTTAGTTTTATTAGATGCATGAAAGTCATATGGTTTGAAATGTTTAATGAATGAATCACTGTATTTTATACAATTTATGATCATATTTTATTAAAATTAAGAATGAAAACATCATCTATTCGATGCAATAGGTAGATGCACGAAAAGATAGCCCAGATGTCAAACAGGCTTTGTTTTCTGACTAGTGAGATATAGCTCTGAAAGTTAATTAACTGTCCACCTGAGCTACAAATCTTCTCCATTACCTCGAAATTCATTTTTGCTGCTATCCAGAGAAGAAGTCAATGCAGCTGAAGCCAGTGAAAGACGGAGGAAGAAATCCAGTTACCAAGATGTTGGAACAAAGAAAACGTTGACCCGACCGCTTCAATGAACTACTGAGATGACCATCACCTACAGCAGACACAGCTGTAAGTGAACACCAACTCTTCGGCAAAAGCAGAGGTCCTGAAGGCCATTAAGTTACCAACAGGTGGAAAAGCAACAAGACAAAATAGAAGCCCCTTGAAGCACTGGAAACGGTCCCAGAGATCTTAGTGAACATGCTCACGCCATTATTGCAGTATGTTTGAAAGGAAGAAGTGATATCTACCGGTGAAGTGGAAGGAAGGCTACCTTATTACACTGTCAAAGCATATTCAAGAAGTTGTTCGGAAAGTAGAATAGTAAGATGTATCATCGTGGAAAGACTATAAGATCTAAATTCCTCAGAGGATTTATATCTCGTAAAGCAAAACCTCGAAGGTATACAAGAAAAAATCAACAAGCTGGTAGTACGGGCAGTGAATACACGCCTTCAGGTGAACTTACACAAGAAAGGGGTGCCAAAGATAACCAATCAGTAACAAAAATCAATCTTCATCAACAGCAGTATTCTAGAGAAGGTAGCCTCTCTCATTTGCCAGACCTGGACAGCCTCGTTTCCACTACAGATGGCAATATTAAAGCCAGCCACAAATGGACTGGGTACGAAAGACAGGTCTTGGTTACTCTATGATCAATGGAGATTTGCAGAACGCGTCACAACGAGGAAGGTTTGAATTTCTACAACTAATACCAAGTCAATGCTTCTACGATGTTCAGAAAAGATATCCGACATTCTGGTGCAAACTTTCATCAACAGTCTCTAAGGTAGATTCATCCAAATTTATCTATAGAGTTGAAAGAAGCCATCTAAAAATGTTATGTTTTCTCGCTCTTTGCATGAATAAGTTCTAAGCTGTTCATATGAAAAATCAAGTTTATGGACACAGAAAAATTCCTCCCACCCACTTCGTCAACCTTAAAAATAATTCCACGTTCAGCTGTTTTCAGTGTCTTCTTGTTGATACTATTTTGGTGTTTGGCATTTTAACTAATAGCACCTTCTTGTTTATTCTGTTCATGTGTTATATAGTATATTTTCGTAATTGTTCTCATACTTTATCTATTAAAACCTAATTTTTTGAAGTATTTTTTTGTATTAATCAGCTTTTAGTCTAAGCTTACGGATTTTCATAACCTTAGCTGCATTCTGCCTAATCGTTATCATTCCGAAATATTCTGATAATGCCAGCGATATTCCATATTTATTCTGCTTTTGACTGTGCTTGATAAACTAAATGTGCATGCACACAAATAATTGTACATAATTGCAACTGTACAGCTAAGTGATGGTAGTCAACAAAAGGAGCCTCTTAAATGAACTTCTTGTTTTCATTTACATTTCTAGATGCGTATCCTTCGCGAAATGAAATTAGTTTTCCTTATGATCTATTCCTGTTAAAAAACACTAGCTACAAAATGGATTGACATGTGATTACACTGTACTGTGGAACAACATTTTTAATTACCTTTTAAAAGTTACAATATTACTGGTTAACTCTCTTTTCTTATGCAAAAGTAAATCATAATATTATTATTAATAGTACTGTCTTCTGTAAGTGTTGGTGTATTTACATCTAAATCAATTAAAGTCAATTATATTTTCATAATATCATAGTAACATTCTGTCTTTTTCTATTTTTGTAACATCTGCATATTCACCACCGGCTTTTTCACGTGCTTCGCTGGCTTCTCTAGCGATTCGTTTCATCTCCAATAAACTTAATAAATCTTTCCATAAACTGACTTGTTTTAAACCAGCTTTCTCGTTATCTAGTAAACGTTTTTGTTCTTCTTTCAACGTTCTTGTTAAAGCTTCTTGTTCGGCTATTTTGCGTGTATAAATATCCCTAAGAAAAAAAAAGTGATTATGACAATTAAAATGTATGAAATCCCTAGTTTGAATTATACTGTAACCGATGCTATCATTCCACCTTCAGTCGTCATCAGTATCAGTCTGTTTAAGTAAATCTATTTCAGACGTTCGGAGAATCGAGTGTTCGGTCATCGTTTTACCCTTTCAATATAGTGGTTTCGATACGCACTTGTGAATTTGTAAATGTAGTTGATGGCAAACTCTTCTGGTTGTGAATTTTCGACTGATAAGGAGCATCACAGATAAGTTAGGAAAGAGAAACTGATTACTGCATTCATACTACATAATGAAACTAATGTTTAAATGCACATTTTTGGAACTATGGAATAATTTGTCAGAATGGTTCACATCACTAGGAATTACAAACCTACCATTTTCATATCTAGCATAAAATCTAGCATCTTCAGCTGCGGGGTTTATTTTGTTTACTCCTACACTTTTGATGAATACATCAATAAGTTTAAGTCCAGGAGCATTACACCAATCTGTCTCTATCAAACTGACTACTGAAACGAAATCAGACATCTTTTGTGCAGAATATTAGTTTTCTTTTATCTTAACTGGGTAGAGAAAGCAATTCAGAATGATTGCAAATAGTCTCAGTTGTCTGTTTAGATGGGACACTAGTGAACAACGGTGATATATCAAAGGCAAGTCAGAAATGTTTTCTCTATCTGAAGATTTGATTCAACTCTGTTCATTTTTGGGGTAAAATCTCTGAATACCATTAAAATTAGCGCATTAAAAAAACTATCTGATGGCATGATACTGCTAATAACCTATTTACATGTATTAATACTGGAAATCCAGGTGTACTATTTTCAGTTTTTGTAGTTGAAATCATCAAGTGTTTCATATTCTATTAGATATATATGTGAAAGCTAAAATTGTTGTGTTCACCACAAACTTAAGTATGTGAACTATAGCTGAATTAAGTTGACTTTTTATTTTGAAGCACAGCACTTTGATTTCATCTTGCGAAACCAAAATACTCAAAGCTTTATACGACAAGATATGCGATCTGCTTTGTTACATTGCTGAAAATTCTAAACACTCAGTAAATGCCAATGATTTTAATGTAGAAAGAAAACTTATTACAGTTGGAACCATGGAAGCGTCCAATATGTTTGTAAAAAGCAAAAGATTTAGTTTTTGTGGAGTTATTTACTACTGAAATAAGGTGAAATAGAAATGAGGAGAAAACCTACCTATAACTTTTTCTTTTCTCAGTGTTTCCAGTTAAACTTTTATCACCTGCGCCGCCACCAGCTCCTCCGGATAAGTAACCACGCATCTCCTCTTGCAGACGGTGTTGCTGAGTGTGAAGTGTTTCTAAGACAGCAGATAAATAATGAAATCTTGACTCTTCAACTTTCATAGCTTCTCGAGCCGCTCTCACTTCTTGTTCCAGGCGAACAGACTGAGATTCTTGACCGGCTGCCAAAGCATCGTATGCGGACTTTTTCTCTGCATGTATCTGGCCAAGCTCCTAAATTTTTCGTAAAATTAAAGAAGTCATCTTCATTAAATTATAAGTCACCAAAGCTATGACATTATATAATTACTTATTAAATGAAATATATGTCATATTTAAGGCGATATGTACATCATTTTTACCCTGGAAACAGACAAATGTGACAATGTAGAACCGATGCAAAACAGAAGTCTACCCATTTTATCACTGTGCCTCGAAAGAAACAGAGATAGCCATTACTACTAAATCAATATCAGTCCACAATTTGAATATAATAGGCTCATCCGCACTTAACAATGTTATATATATATATATATATATATATAGATGATTTATGTCTTTTAGTCGGCAAATTTGGGAGATGAGTTCAGTACTAAGAACCGTCTACCATTTATATCCTGCCGAATTAGCTTAAAGCATTTATTACTTCTCACAACTATTTATGTTATCCAAATACTTTGTTCATGATAGTGAAACTACATCAGGCTTTATTGGAATTTTCGTATCGCATTCAGTACGCACTGGCTTTTGAGGTTTTAGAGAATTATTTAATATATTCATTTTGCAATTTTTTTTGTGTTTTGTGATAACTATGATGTAAAAAATGATGTATCTTTTTATTTTGCCAAAAAATTGTAATATCAGAGTGTTTAACTTATGTTTAGCAAAGCAAAAAATGAAACAGCGGACGCAGTATTTTCTGTACATACAAGCTTAAATTGTATTAAACATTTTCTGGTCCTTATTTTGTTAGAAAAATCATCTTAATGAAACTGCTATTCAAAAGAGAAAAATCTTTTTGTTAACTTGTTCACTTTGAACAGTATTAGTGATTACAATATAATGAATGCTTAAAATAAATTTCTTGAAAAGTGGAAGAATTAAGTTCTATTGGATTATGGTAGATTAATATGTCCATAATTTGAAACCTAAATTATATGAACTGTGCTTGTTGGTTTATAACATTATTCGTCTGACGAAGAAAACGTTATCACTGCTTTACTTTGTGTTGTTATTATAGTGTAAAACCTTTTCTCTAAAATAACTAAGTGAATTTTTTTTAAAAAAGGATGAAAGTTGAACTTCAGTGGAAAAGGAGTCATTTATTGACATGTACATTATCTTGTAATTGTAGAGTTTACAGTGCATTGAGTTGAATACAATAACTAGTCGACCTTCACCAAAAAGTATACCCTACCCTATGCACTCAAAAATAACAGAAGTGCACACCAAAAGAAAATAAGATTTTCATTTAATAGTCATTATCTAATTTTGAATAATAATAACAACAATAGTTATAAGATTATAAATTAGTTGAACTAACTGTAGTAATTCAGTTAAATAAACTTACTTCTATCCTCATTCCTATATAATCATTTCAGGTTCTTAAAATAGTCTCAGTTACTATGGTATTCAGACTAACAGACAGCCTTTTGTTTACTTTCGAAGTCATAACTCAGTTGCAGCATATAATACAGATTAAAAGACGGTATTGATTAGCTGATTCTTAAAAGTTGTTCATTTAAAATGATTTTTCCATCCCACTTTAGAACCTACTTTTAGTGTATACATAAATATGCATGCAATACTTCACATTATTCAATAAATTTCATATTCAGTGACTAGAATTTATTAATTTATAACAACATCCTACAACTCAGATGTGATCAGTGTGCAATAATCAATGAATAATGGTGACTGTCAACTATTATTGATTGTAATGAGAAAAACACAACTGCCAAATAAACTAGACGTGTCTAATGCTTTATAATATAAGCGGTGGCTTATTTTGAAGTTGAATGGAATTTGACATCTACGACTGAGAGGACGTAGCTATTTCAATCATAATCCATTCATTGACACGTATTACAACCTGATTCATGAACATACTATTTGTTAACAGGAATTAATTTATCATTAAACAGAACTATTCCAAACTTCCCCTTTTAGTTTATAGGCTATGCCAATGACTAGGAAGTACGACAGTTAGTGGAGTATTTCATGAATTGCATTGAACAGTTTCATAGGAGAGTGAAACAATTGTTAAGTAATATTTGTCTTGCTTGTTTCACTAGTTACTGGCTAATGTCCAATGAGTGTATCCAATACAGTCCTACAGTATGTCAATCGCGAGCCTGAATAGCTCAGTCGTAAAGTCTCTGACTGCGGCACTGGTTGATGAAGGTTCGAAACTCGGGAAATGAATCCCTTCTAGGTTGCAGACACGCCCTACTGACGAGTGCATGCTAGCCCGAAACCTGGGTCCAAGGCTTCCCGCCGACTGCCTTCAACCATCTAATATCATGGCTTCGTCTTACCATGCACTGAAAAAGCAAAAACTAACAAAAGCGGAATGACACTGAAATAGACAAATATGAGTAAGTGAACAAAGAGTAATTTAATGAAGAATAGTGATGATTTCCCAATTTCTATGATAAAAAGTGAGTACGTCTAAGCCCTTATGAAAGATTTCATGTCATTTCAAAAACAATTCCCAAGTTCTGATCCTTGGGAGTCCCATAACTCCGGCTATGCAAACCGTATATCTCTGTGTACTTAATATAGATAACCATGCAATTTACAGATTGCTGCCATTTTCGGGGCATCATCAGAGAGGATCTAACCTGATCATACCATAGATATATGAGAGATGTTTTATGTATGTTGATGGGTTACACTTCTTCATGGACTAAGAACAAAAAAATACTCCACTAAAAATCATCTTCAGTATTTATTCTGTGTTGCTTTCAAGACTCTGAAAATAAAAATTTTCCTCTACTGTTTTATCATTCATTTAAATTTCTTTCCACCTTTTGTCATTTTTTCAATCAGTGCTTATGTAAAGGCAAGCACAAACCAACATTTATTACTCTGGATTGTTACTCTGTACGTTATTTTCATACATTTACTTCCTTTTACACCTAAACACATGTGTACAACAATCTTTAAAACGATGCTTATTCAAAGTTAAGTATTTTGTATATGAATATTTACTTGAGCTTTCTGTCTCAATGGTCGAAGTTCGCGTATGATAGGCGCTAACTGTGTGCGCTTTGCGTTGATTCGGCTATTCAGTTGTTGAATAATTTTTGACATTTCTTCTAATGTAGCGCCTTTCTGTTCATTTAACATTGACATTTGTTCTGAAACCTTTAATTTAAAACAAAGGAAACAAAAAACATTAAGCACAAGGCTTAGTCATCAGAATGTTAAGACAAAATGGGATGGACAAATTTTGTAAACTGATTGGTAATTTGTGCCTTATGTCCCACGAAGTTGAAGATATACTAGCGAAAACCAATAAGATGGTGGTCAAGACAACAAACAAACAACTTCAGGTAAGAGTGGAGAAAATAAATATATTGGAGATACCCACTATCAACAATAGCTACCAATAAGTATGAATGACAAAAATCTAACGAAAGTGGTGTCATGTACTTACCTGACCTGAGGATCATCGTTTCAACTACTGGTGGTACAGGTGACGATGTCAAAGCCAACCACGATTTGATCGGGAAAGTAAGACAAGTCTTCATTACTGTGAATTCAGTATGGGAATCAACGGAACTCAACATATCAAAGAAGATCCAAATTTCTAACATTAATGTCAAGTCAGTCAGAGCTTCACTATGGTCCAGAGTCAGTGTATGAGTTACAGAAACACTTGTAACAGGCTCATGTAGAGTTTCACCAACATGTACCCCCACTGAATGCTACAGATCAGATAGAGGGCTGGAAACAATAACCCACAAGGATCTTCGCCTAACAGCCTACTTTCCAACAAGTATGCAGACGGAAATGGAGATGGACTGAGCATAGGCTGAGGAGACATACAAGGCTGTTTTGTGGAACCTTAATGGAAATAAACGAGTTGGACGTACGAGATTGACATGGATTAGATCATGAAATGAAAGCCTGCGGACAATTAGAGAGTTAGATAAGAAAGACTACAAAGAAATGGGTGGAGTGTGAAACAAATATATGTATTTACACATGAATCAGCCTGGCTCAGCTAATCATTCTCGGGATTCAACTGGTGTCCTCAAATTCCAAGGGAAAATATGTGGTCAGACAAATGAATTAGCAACCGGATAATCAATATCCCTATTCGTGAACAGTTATAAAAGTTTATCTCTTAAAAGATTTCACTCTATCCCAAAAGTATGCGGAGATATGCGAATGTCACTTTCTCTGTGTTGAACATAGACACTATGTAGTAGAGAGGATCAAATATTCCTTTGAGTCAAATTGTAAAATATAAGGAATGGAATAAGGAAAATTATACAGATATGTCTGTAAACAGCTGTTGCACTTTATTGGATATTTCATATTTTAAAAGAGTAAAGACAACTTTAGTTTAGTACCTAAGCAACTAAGCAAGATCTTCTGCTCAGATTTTTCTTTTCACTGAATAAAAAGAAGCAGAAAATGCAAATTTTTATTCTCCGGTATTTCATTATGTAGTGATAAAACAAAGTTATCTAGCTATTAAGGAATTTAAAAGTATGATTAAAGTTGGTCAACAGTAAAGTTTAATGCATACGTTTTTATTTTGTATATAGAATGAAGCATATATTAAGTCTACTAAAACTTAACTCATTTGGTTTATTTTACACAATATGGAACTAAATTTGTTATACTTGAATATACAAACTAGTAGAGCAGACTAAAGTAAACAGTTAACTCATAATTATTAATAAAAACTCTTAGTAATAGACAATATTTCATATTGCAAACTGTTTAAACTAGTATAATGTGCTTAGTTCATTCCTACACCATTGTGTAACAAAAATGATACTCTAGGTAAACAAACAGTGATGACAGCAAGTTTATTCATAATGGCTGTTGTAAAGTGGCTTTAAGCAACCAACTGAATTTATAACAATTTTATTAGCGAGTACAGTCAACTAGAATAATAAAGAGCTAGAAGTGACTTGTTTGACACGTCTGTATAATCCTGACACACACACACATTCACTGTAGATTTAAAAACATAAAATAAATCAATAGTTATTTACCACTGAAATTATGTACTAATAACTCATCAGGTTATTCAAATTATTTTCAACTGAGCAAACACCTAACGCTTCATTCTTAATAACCGATTAATTCCAACTAATAAATTCAATATACACTCTTTAGATTTATCCTTAGAGTCAAGATTAGCCATTTAAAACTAAATGGAAGCACTATCAATCCATTTAAACATGAATGGGTAAAATGCCTACTCTTTTAACTTTCAAAGAGACTGAGTCAAACAACAAAGTCTGCTTACAATTTGTACTACGAGTTCCACGGAAAATATATAATGAAACGAATGTTGCTTATGAAGAAGAACTGACGTCATAAACCAGTTGGTTGTTTGCCAGTCAAAGTCTGCTGACTGCATTATGTGATGACAGAAATAAGTGGTGAGAGACAGTGTTGTATTATTATTGAGTATCAGATATTATGAGTTCATCGATAAGGCGCTCCTCTTAAGCAAGGTGTCCTGCAGTTTTGAGAAACACGTATTTCTCTGATAACTAACTTTGACTCTGTGACAAAGAAACACTTTTTTTTTAAGATTGCAGATACGACCTGTTGATAAACAAGAGATGTGGTTACAGTGGGAGTTCTTGATTACTGACTTCTAACACTTAGTTAGCTATAAATTATAAAAATGGTAAAAATATCCTGAAAATTACACAGGTCAAATTAAAGCAGTCATATGTCAAAACTACAGGATGCTTTATGAAAAAACTTAAGACATGCTGTGATCCTCTTCAAAACACTGTCATCTAAGTCGGAGTCCTGTGTGTGTGTAGTTTTGAGAACACGTATCCCTGAAGCTTATACTACCTTACCTTAAAGGAACATGCTATCGTATCATTCGTCATATGGAGTCAATGAAAAGGCCTAATAATGGTTCATTATCAGAACTGACCTGAAATCAAACCAAACGCTTAAAAATTGATGCAGTGTTCATTAATTAATGACAACTGAATGGAATTGAATTCTTAGAGTTCTCATCAGTATTTGTTACATGTTGAGTGCATCAAGTTGCTTTTTGGGAGAAACGCCAATGCGTGACATCAAATGGTGATAATGCTAAGTCATAAACCAACAGAAGTTAGAATTCATCCGTCCTTTGACTTCCACCAAGTAGTTGATTTGTGACATTCTCGGTTCGTAACTCACTTTAAAAGAGCCTCTGTGTAGAAAGAAATAGCTGCCCAATGCTTCCTGATTTTCATTGATACTGTAACTAATATCATTTCATCTAGAAATATAGCTTGAAATAGAGTGAACTATTTGGAGTGTCTTAAAAATATGATGCACCTTTTTCATAACCCTCAAATTTAGTTTATAGTCGTTTGCAGTTAACAATAATACAGGCGGTTCACCTTCTATGTTTATCTATTTTATCGAAACAGTCAGATAACATCATATTTTTTAATAATATTGAAACAAAATGTCACTTGTTTGTTTTTCATAAGCGATGATGGTTGGAATCAGTACTCTGTCTAGTTCATAATTTGGTGAAGTTTAGTTTTTATGCTCAAAAGATTTTCCTTACTGAATGAAGAGGTTTCAGTCGAATATAAGTCTACCAGTAAGCTTTAATTCTGTAAGTTAACGGATATTCTGAATAAGAATTATATGCTACATCACATGATAATTGTCTACGTTAACATTTATGCTCAGTATTCACCTCGAAAATAAAAACAGTGACAACTAGTGATAGTCATAACTGAGTACTACAATACTCATACTCTATCTGTATAAATACAGAAAAAGATACGTAGAAGCAGATGCAGAAGTGTATCTTTGTGAATGGTCACAACTTTAAAAAACACAAAAAAGAAGAGAACACTACCCCATTGAGAAACAGCCATCTCAGTCAATGAATATTCGCAATCCTACCGATTGATCTACCATCCTTATCTGACACTCTACATACAATCTCATTATTGCTCACCACTTTACTTCATCTAACATAAGAAACTGAATGAAAGCATCTATTTCAGAAAATGTTTTGCTCTTTACATGCCTTCTACTTTCAGCAGCTATATAACTGAATTCTATAACTTCACTTTACATCTTTAATCTTGTAGTTGGCGAAGACCAGTCACACAGGATGATTTTAAACTTCACAAAATTCTCTGTGGCAGAGTTTAGAAAAATCTGAGGTTTCTCATCGTCTTCATGTAGAAAGACTACATCGTCTGAATACTCTGTGTCGACTTACTGATAACTTTCCTGATAACTAGTCATTTACTTATATAACTAACTGAAAGAATTCACTCTATAAATACATTTTCAGCGAAATTGAACAAAAAACGTCATACTGAACGTCCCCTAAATATGCCACTGTTTGTCATCACTTCAGACGATAACTATGCACACGGTCTTACACAGATTCAGTATCTCTGAAAGGATATCGGTTAGTGAGATTTTCTAGAAATCTGGGGCGGTTAATAATTTATTCCTATTATATGCATACTCAATTGAGTCGATAAATAAAGCTTCAGTTAGGCACAACAGCATAACACGATAAAACAGTGTCATTCTTAAGATCTTATACAACAGTGTGGTAGGGAAAGTTGATAACTGGAGCTATATTTATTGGATTAGCTGAGGACGCATACAGGAGGAATAACTCAGCATTTCTTCACGGGCCTTTCCAGAATTCCACTACCGATTCGACAAATGGGAAAGAAGAGTGAGAACGAAAAAAAACCGAGTTCCGAAGTTATGTCATTACAATGGATATGATTGTGAAAAGCAAACTATTCTCGAAGCGTCATCCACTAATAATACTGTTTCATTTAGTGGTCTGTCCAATAGGAAATTAATATGAAACTACACACTACTAGTGTTCAAGTTTTACAAAAATATTAAGAATATCGGGGTTGGCCGATGGCTTTTTCTTTGTAGTTCCTGTAGGAAATGAATTGTTGCACCCCCCTGTCGATTGATGGAGCTAAATATCGTCTTCAGGCATAGAAAACTGTCAAGTATTAAATGATGGTAAGTAAATCTGTGATATGTATCCATATTTATATATGTGTATGGTGATCTCTCTTTCTGTTGCTCTCTTAGTCTGTGGCCATTTCACTTTGATGAACCTGTCTCCTTTAACAATGTGTATTCCCCTTATAGTATATATAATATGCGTGTTTGTTGACAGTCTGTTCTTGGTGATATATTTATCCATATAATATGTGTGTTTGTTTGACAGTCTGTTATATTTCGCTATGTATATATGGATCGATACTTCATTATAATTAGCCAATCATGTTAAGACTGTCTATTGATTTGTTCACACACTTGTTTGGACATTCATATATATTTTGCTCTCACACTACTGTGTGATACATATATTGATTCTCCTTGTGTTTGGAAAATAGAAGTATCATGGCAAACCTAGTGGTCTTCTGATTTCCGTCCTTCCTGCGTCAGGACTATTAATTTCTCGACCAGTACATAACAATCTGTTTTCCAGAATTCGACAAAGGAAGGAGATTTGAACGATGCATCGTCACTCAAATTTAAAACTACCTGTTAATTACGAACATATTTGCTTCCATTCTTGTAATCTAGAATGATTAATAATCTACCCTAATCAAATAAACCCATTCTGGACCAAAGTGTATTATGTGGTTCGTCAATTAAATAGCTCACAGATTCATCATTGTCATTATTGATCAAATATGGGGTCAAATTGTCAATCTCTACCGGTTTTGACTAAAGATATCGTCCTCAAATTCGTCCAAAGTTGATAACAGATGCCTATGTTCCATCGTGATCAGAAAGGACAAGCAACAAGGAAATGTGAGAACCAACCAACCAACCCCTAAGAAAAGATGTATGCAGGAGGAAATGGAGATGAATTGGAAACTCGCTGGGGAGACCGCCTAAAGATAAAATAAAAGCTTATGGTTAATAACGGAGCCAGCTAAGAAGTACCACAGAGAACAGGATTTAATGGAGGTTTACTGCTTAATTTATATATCACACCCTGAACCTGAAGTAATAATAATATGCAATGTTCCAGAATTTTGGAAGTGCTAGCTTTTTTTTATTTCTTCGCGTTCCTAGTGGAACATAGGGCTTTGAGCTCATGCCTTCAAGTTTCGGTAGCATTGGTGTTTATTTTTACGGGATGGGGTAGCTAGCCTCATGCCCAACCTTTCCTCTTTACTAGTCTTATTACTGAATTAGCGAGGTAAAGGAGTGCGTTGTCAGGGGGTCGAACCCTGAAAAATCATGTGTGGTTGATGAGCATCCTACTGCTGTGCCACCAACCCGTTAGTAGACAACCACATTTAACTTGAGAAAACTAAATTTCTCCCTAAGCGAACTTGCCATCTTACAGAAAAACTTATCCTTTACGTTATCTGGAATGCGAGTAGATAGGCTATGCAAAGGGAGTTGATGAGTACTACGATTTTTGATCGTCCTAATAGTGCCATTTAGCTGGACACCACACAGGCACTGCTACAGAAACTTCAAGCCACTATCTTGGAGACCTATGTTCCACTGGGAACGTGAAGGAAAAATTATTTATTATTTATTAAACAGTTTTCATATAGCTTCTGGTCCTCGAATTCCCTTGCAGATTATATTGACTTGTTTAAAGAAACAAATCAAGAACCGTGCTTCGTTCGTTCACACTGATGCTCACCATTTAATTTCTTTGTTATAATACTGAGCTTCTTGAATGAAAAACACTGCTGCATGTTTTTTCTCCGCATCTGTGTCTCAGAAATTTTCTCTTGATATTCATTTACAAGGAGACCTCTCAAATATTGCTCATTAATCTCCACTGTCTTCCATGCAAAACGTAACACTGGCTGGCTGTATTGCCATCGTTTGAATTCATGCGCCTTACGTTAAAAATTCAGGAAGAGGGACAACTGTTATTATTTCTTAAGCGAATTTCTTATCGTTTCATCGAGTACAACGGCAAAAGTTTTATTTCAAGGCAGTACGAGATAGTTGCAAACGTCATTTTTGTTTGTTCTGTGACCGTCATTAAAAGACTGAGTTTTAACCACATATTTTGGTTTTGGTTGCTTAATTCAGTCTCGACAAATCAAATATTTTATGTAACTGCTGTCTACTCCAACAAATTCTTCCGAAACATGCACAAGTCATTGAATCTTATTCGGTCAGTGGAATCCTCGGACTGAGAAAATTAGTTTCTGAATGGATGCTTCCTTCACTTCAGTCCTATTAGGGATTTTACTTGGGGCTTCCGATGATTTCTCCTTATATCCCGACACTATGGAGGGATACTGCGATCATTAACTACATTATTACTTCCTTCTATAGGTTTAAAAAGTTTTAAAGTTTGAAGTAGTACTTTCGTCATTCACTTGACTTTCTCTTTTAGATTTTATAGCTTCCTGCTTAGACATGACTATATTACGTCAATAAGTTATCAGTAATTACATATATATATATATATATATATATATATATATATATATATATATATATATATATGGGGCTAATTGTGTCCACTTATGAATATATGCATTCCGATAGCCCAGTGGTTTACCTGATAACATCAGATTAGGAATCATAAATACAGTATTCATCTTACCTTTTCTAAATTCGTCTGAGTTTCCCAGTAACCACTGATACCTTGTGCAGATTCCGTTTCAGATAACAACTTTTTTGCTTCACTTTCTTCATTTCGTAATAATTCAACAGTTCTGGTCAATATGCCTTTTTCAGCACGCAATTCACTTAACTGGGCGCGTTTCTGCTTATATATTGTATTTTTACTACGAAGTTTTGCCACGTATCTTTGAAACTGTAAATTGTAAGCAAAAAAAAAATGAGAAAAAAATCAAATAAAGTTGGCCGTCACATTAACTCGTGAATATATACTATTAACTTACGTATATATTGTAAATATCGTGTGTCTCGGAGACAAAACCTGAAAAGACGGCGTTTACTATCGTATACATTTGGGTGAGTCTACTTTAGTAAAATTCATAGTAGCAGTGAGTAAGATAATCAACAGAAAAGAAATAATTTATTTGAGACAGTGAAAGGGCAAACTTCGGCATAGGTTGTACAATTACTAAAAGCTTAAATGCACTCTTCACATGTTTTAATTTAGTTTGAGATTCATGAACGACTTTTAAGACTATCTTAGGATAGATAGAACATGATAGTTCAGAAGTTACAGTAGTTCCCTAAATGATGACGGTTTGTCACAAACTTTATAAATTCAAATCAACCAAAGGTCCACATACCTAGTACCGGAAATACAGTATAAATTAAGAGGACAACAAATAAATAACGGAAAAGAAAATGTTCCACACTCTGAGAAAAGTAGATAACAAAAAATTTGCTCCACTGTGATAGACCTAAAGTAATTTCATCATTGACTTTTCGAATTTCACGAATACAGCCAACACGTTGGGTGAGTGATTAAAGTGATTCCATTTTATTCTAACTAGTAATCTTTATTGAAGTTTATTATTGGTTTGCCATGGAGGGTAATTTCCAATTTTAAACACTCAAGCGGCACAAACGGACTTATGACCGTGGATATAGTAGTTCAGGTAAAAGGTGAATTTGATCACCTAATTCACTTCTAACTCTAGTCTATCCTTAGCCATCTCTAATATCTCCCTCATCCATTCCTGGCTCAAACCTAACTTAAAGCTAACCATCTCATTCAGTACTTCTTTTTCATAAATATAGTGCTATTTACCTAGTTTAACTGCCCTGCTCCAAAGTAACATTTCAAGTTCATTGGTGGATTCATATCCATTGAGTGTCTAAAGTCTAATTATTTCATGTACAGATGACTTAGCTTCTAAGAAAACAAAATCGAACATGCTGACCAGATGGTAAACAAAAACCCCTAAAGAAAACCTAACAGTTTGGAAAAAATTCCGAAATATTTTAGTGCATAAAAGTACTTTCCGGAAGTTATAATGTAGCATTAGTATTGCAGACTGAATAGGCAGATTTATCTTTTATTACTTGTTAGGACTCATTTGACAATAAATACATTACGTACATATAAAAATGCTTGGAATGTGATGCAGTATACATCGGACAAACATCTCGAGAAATCAAAGTCAGAAGAAATGAACACCATAGAGCATCTGTTCGACCACCCAGAAATCCAGCTGAACTCGAAAAGCTTGAAAAATCATCAGCTATAAGTCTACATGCTATGGAATCAAGCCACAAAATTGATTTTGACAGTATTGAAATAATCCAGAAAAATTTCAGAAATCACAAAGAACGTCTAATATCAGAAGCACTACATATTAAATGGAATCCAAATCGTCTGAGTAAGAATGATGGACTAAAACAGGATTTGACCTGGTTGCAACAACCTCCTCCATCATGAAATGACGAAATCAACAGGAATGTGATAAGCAATTTCATTATGTAAATAGATGCTGCTTTTATAATTTTATATGCTTATTAAATCCAACAACCTACACTTGGTTTTGTTATCTTTACCAACTGGTCAGCTTGACAGAGTAAAAATTACCCCACGCTGACGAAAGATGAATAAGTTGCTATATAAAACCTGAAATTTTCTTAATTTTGGCTTAATAGTACTTTGATTAGGCTATTAACAGCAATAAACGGCAAAATATCGGTAAAAACAATATCGTTTTACTTTTAATTCATTGAGAAATACAAAATATTTATAATAATGAATGCATTAACTGATCATTCTAAAACTATATGAAATGCAAATATTTCTAAAGACTGAAGTTGCGAAATACCTTTCACAGCTAAAACTCTAAAGTCTATGGTATTCTGTTATATCATCTGTACAACCAAGTCCCAATATTGGATATGATACTCAGTAAGGAATTCTCGTACATAGCTCGCGTCGCAAAAAGCAATCGATTAGGTCAATTAATAGTATAGAATCAATTTGTGATAAGATGCATTGTACGACATCATTCCCAGTTGGTGTGTATGTTTGTGAAGTTCAAAATGATAGTTTCTAACTTACACCATAGAAGTATCATCATTGAGTAAACTTTAACAGCATGTGCTATTCAAGCTCACAGTTGCAAAATATGAATAAGGTAGAGACATATTTCATAGAATTCATACGGATAATTTAGTTCTAAATGTGAAACAATAAATGGATACATACATTATCAGTCAAAGCTGGAAGTGTATGTAAGGTAATGGAAAGTTTTAAAAAAATACCAGTCGAACGTGGTATTTCGTATCAATTAATCAACTAACTTGATTACAGTTAATCTACCTTCAAACTGTTTAATCATTCAGATACTTTTGACCGTAGGCGGACGGTATACTGCGAATTTTGACTAAATATTGAAAAATGAATGCATATGTTTAATTACAGAGTTTAGCAGCGTATCAGCATACCATATTTAATTCCGAATATGGTGAAATCTGAATTAATTCCAATGAAGATTTCGTTGGAACCAACAAAAGTTAAAGAGTCATGGAAAAACAAAAAAGCTAGACGACAGTTTCGTCCTAATTTGACACACTTCAGCACGCCGCACCTACAACCTCATCAGCAACTGAGCCTCAAACCTGCAGATTACCAGTCATTCATCAAGATGGCCATTCAGCCAGCGGGGGGTAGTCAAGATATTCCTATTTCCTAATTCCCATCTCCGGTGGAATCGTGGGTGTCTACTGATGAAGTTCTCAAAACTAAGGCAAAACATCTGTCCAGCGTTCGATAGTTTTCAATGATTCAGCCAATTTCCATCTCTGTCAAAATCTTCGCTGAAGCCAGCTTATAAGACAAAAATATGGAGATTCCCTAAATAACGATCAGTCTTCATTAGTGATATGTATAAACTTGACAATAGTTAATCACCACGCTATATTGTGAACTGACAAAAGTTAGGGTTCATTGACAATTGAGTTGGGTCACAGCGGCTGAATGGTATACGAGCTCGCCTTGTAACCGGAAAGTCCTGGGTTCGAACCCCAGCATACCGATGAAGAGTCCATAACCAGGACGAAACAACTGTCCATTTCTCCCAAGTTTTCCAATGGTTCGCTAACCGACGTTAGCTCATGACGAAACCCTGTAACCAATCAAATGAAATCCCTGCAAACCAACACCTGACTTTTAAAGTTCATAAAATTCCACTGGTTTACACCATTGTACAAAGAAACAAAATTGTACGTTATGAGAAAGGATATGCAGCTAAGAACAAAAAATGTGTTTTGTGTTCTTCTGTATTCTAACAGCAGTTTATCAAGTGACTGTGTGGGCGTTATGGCTAGTTAGCATAATGAAAGGATGACTGACCACTACATATCACACTTCTTTGTATCGTATACATATATAGATGAGCAGAAGAAAATCCTAAAATTAGATTTCATTTTGACTAATGTATTTGTAATGAAAGACTGTTTACAGTCTGGAAGTCATAAGGGGTAATTAATATACCTTTATAACATCATTTCTTTCCGTTCTTCTTTACGAGTGTAAGACAAGTCTGTTGAAAGCGAAAGATACAGAGGTTAGCTACCTTTGACCACAGGCATTTGAGTCTTATCTCCTGTGTTAAGTAATATAATATGGTAGATAATACTGAGGTTGAATGTGGAGTGTTAGGTGGCGTAGGAAAGTCAATCGATGATCCTAACTCATCGCTTTCTTCTACTAGCAATGTCAGCTGACATAGGATTAGATGAAAACAGAGTTAGACTTGGTCCAATCAAAATCTGATATCCGATCCATGAAGTCTTCGACCAATAATCTGAGCCACTTAGGGATATGCAGATAGCCCTAGCATGGTCATCAGGATGCTAAGAGTGAATGGCCGGAAACTGTTGATAACATGGTTGGTGCTAACTAATTTATTCCAATAAACTTGCTAACCCATTGAGTACTTACTGTTCTCCAGGTCTTTCTCCCGTACACTTCCGTTTATTAAAATATCTTAGCAGTTCTTTTTTTTCTACCTAAATGTGTTTTATGAAGTATGGCGAATTCTGCACTTTTGTGCAAAGTTTTACCCTCAAACATAAGTTCAAATTAAATTATTTGCGTAAACTTTCCAAATAAGCATTATAAGCAAACATATATAACGATAGTTCTTGAATATACAACTGTATATTTAAGATATATGCACAACTGTATGTGTAACCTTGCTTTATATTACAATAAACCTTCTGTCTAGATTTTAAGTAGTTAAAACATTAGTCTATAGTAAATTAAAAGTTTTATACCAAAATCTATAACTCTACTAAACAATTAATGTTTAAAAGTAAAATTAAACACGTACAGATAGACTTGTTTGATCATGTCACATATTAACTTTCTTGAAATTGACTTTATTCTTATGCGTATAATGTCTTGATAAAATAACAGTTGGCTCAAGCCAAAATAATATTGCTATAACGCGCATATTAAGTGGACTTCTGACACTTATTGCCGAATTCAAATAACTTTCAGTTTAGACCAGTTAAGAAAGCAAGCATTATTGTATCAAGGAAAAGATGAATAAGAAGTGTATATCTAGGCCAAATTATGCTCGTAAGACATAGTCACTGAAACAAAGGGACATTAAATGACTTTTAGCGTCAGTCTAGGAGTATCTTAGAAAAAACCTTTCTTATGAGGTGAAAACACAAAAACAGTTACCTAGAGTTGCCTAGAATAAAAATAATTGAAACATTGTGAGCCTATGCAGACTGAACACTTCAGTTATATTCTGGGGTTTGACTTTGTGCAGCACCTCATGAACTGTAGAAGTAAACTGATGAAACCATAATGTTAATTTTTTCAAACACACACAATTTTTAGAAAAGTTGTAGTCTTCC